TTTTTTTTTTTTTTTTTTTGTATATCTGTCGATCTGCTATGAGTGAGGCATTACGGAGGAGTGCTATGAACGAGATCTAGGCAAGGTTTTGCAAAATTTCGGCTTTCAAAAAAAATGCGATCTTGATTTCTTTTTTTTTTGCACGAAATAGAATGGAGGTTCCACTTTCAGAGAAGAATAGAATATAACAACCTCCGTATTTCACCTAGTATGCCCAGAGTGAAACAAAAAAACGAAATGCTAATATCTGAAGCTGCGAAAAAGAATTTTTTTTTTCGCAGAGATTTTGCAAGGAACATGAATGTGGACGAAGCACAGAAATCCAGATTGCAAAATCACACTGAAGTCCAAGTAGTCAAAGCAAGAGCAGATAGCACAATGGAACCGAGTAACCATCCATTTGAGAACAATACAGAAGAATCGTGAGTCAATGTCCAAGCCCAATCGGGCAACACCAACAGCATAACCCAATGTAGCTCTCTCTCCTGAATGGCGCCAGGCGCCCTACCTACTCTACAGCCTATCACTACAACTACAGCATGAAAGCAACCAGACAACTTGACGACCAGCGAGTGATGATGTCAACACCAATGCCGACTACCCCTCCTTCCAGGTACGTCTCTCTCGTCTCCCTCACTCTCCCTTGTTATCCCACACAGCGCCCTTCACCTCCGAAGAACCACCTTCGCCCTTCCTCTTCTGCGCCCACAGGCAGCCCAGCTATGGTCGCCAGCGCCCTGCACCCAGGCAGTGCGCTACCGCTTAGCGCCTGCTTCTGCCTCAGCCTTGCGCAGCCCAGCACAGCGCACCACCTCGCATTTGCGCAGCGTGCCGGCATTGCCCGCAATGGCGAAGATCCCTGCCCACTCGCCCTGCTTGCCTATATGCCAGTGTTGCGTGTGGGCGGCCTGCCAGTACATCCCATTGGCATTTTCGGCCTCTATTTCCAGTATGCAATGTCGACCTCACGTTTATGTGCCCAGGGACTAACCAACTCTGGGGCCCTGGGATTTCTGCATTTGCAGAGCTCCGATACTCGGTGCCTCCAACCAACTGGCGTGCTGCAACTGTATGGACCCCACTTCGTGAAATGTTTGCACAGAGGGCTCTTGTTGATTTGCTGGCCCGCCTTCACTTAGGGCGGGCACGAGGCTTGCTGGGGCCTTAGCCCAGAACATGTACGTCATGGCAAGGCCCCTTCTTGAGGGCTCAATCCTCACAATTTGACGAAGCCCTACTTGATTCACTAATAATCAATCAATCAATCAATCATTCAATAATTAAGCAAGCTGGCTCCTTGATTGGGCAGCTCCTCTGATTGAGAGGTCTGCTCCGATACCAAACTGATGCATACCGTAACGGCGCAGACCAGAACAAGAACCGACCTCTCTCGGATAGTACAGGATAGCACAGCGGAAGGCTAAAATACCAATGATGAGACCAATCAATGTCGGACAAAACATACATCATCATCATCACATGGTGTGAAGGGGCCTGGTGCTCACACAGGAAGAATGTGCCAGTCCCCAAACCAGACACAGATGAAGAGGAGGGAGATCGGACGAAGAAGAGGGGGAAGATGGGAAAGTCTTCGATACAGGCCCCAAATAATCCCTCTTCCAATGTCTCAATCCCAAAGTCGAGTCTGAATCCAAATCTCGTCAAATCTCAAAGTCGCAAATCTCTCTCTCTCGTAGTCTGTAGGCACTGAGAAGTCAGGTAGCAAGAGGGCGAGGGAGAGATGGTGGACTTAAGAGGAGGAAAAGGAGGAAGAAAAGAACTCTCTCTCTCTCTGGTGTACCAAGTACTAACCTGTGAAGGTGGCGCCTTGTTGCAGGTACATCGAAGACGAAGCTGGAGCTATGGCGCCACAGGTAAGTCTCCCTGGCCTCCACCACTCTCTCTCTCTCCAACGCTACTCTAAGCTCCTAACAGCGCCCTACGCTGAAGACTACTCCTAGCGCTACTGCTACTACTGCAGTGCTCCTGCAGAGTGCTGCAGCCGCATCCTGAAGGCTGCCTCCTGAACTGCACGTGAGGTGCCCATGAACTGCCTGCGGCCTGCAGGGCGGACCAGTACTACATAGTGCTGGTTCGTCCTCGGAGGCTGCTCTTGCCCATGCCGAATCGTGCCAGACCCTGGCGTTGAAGTTCAAACAAAGGCTGGCTTGAAACAGGCCCAAAAATGGCCTGCGCTCAACCCTGGTCTGGCGCCTAAGTTTCAGGGCAGGTCGACTTTATGAGGGGCTGAAAATGGCCCTCCTTTTCAGGCTCTTAGGCTGAAACGATACAGGGCCTGGAGGGCCCTTATTTTCCATCTGGTCAGGCCCTGCAGGCCCGTGTGGATGCGCAGTATGCCACAGCTGGGGTCTCCTTCTTTCCAACCTCTCACCTTCTTCTCCCTGTACTTCTTCGCTTCTTCTAATAACTTCTTCTTCACTTCCACCTCCTTCTTCCTTTGCTTTTCCTCCTCCTCCTCCTTTTCGGCTAGCCGGTGGTCAATTTCTGCCTGCTCCTCAACTGTATGTGGCTCTGTTGCTTTCCCAGACCTTAGCACCGCATGCAAGAAGAGGGTTCGCTTGAAACCAAGAGCAAAGATAAAGTGAAGAGGAGGTCCCCATAGCACGGACAGGGACAGAAGTGTGAACATGGGATAGTCATCCACGGTGATCACAGGCACAGGTAAGTAGGCTCCAGCTCCTCACCACTTACCTCCTCCCACTAATTACTAACTCTTGAGTGGGTCTGACTCTTAATACTGACCAAGTAACCTTCCCACTGTGTCTGCTACCCTTCTCTTCTCAAGATTGCATATGACCTCTTTTTTTCTTTTTTGTAACGATGCTGATTGGACAGTAGACTCAGCAAATCGTATATGCTATCCTCAAAGCCTATCTCCCCAGACTCTGTCCGGACCAGCAACAGCGACACCAAGATGTGGACGGTTCCAAGCACAAACAATTCAACAAGCAATCAAGGCTTAGGGGGGCAATGCACTTCACTTCAGTGAACGTTCCGTTGATGAAGCTCCTCGTTCGCTCCACTTCGCTCCAGCGCAGCAATGACAGGTGTGTAATCACCAATCCCTAGGCCCCTTCTTCTCCGGCTCAACCTTCTCCTCCCTTCTGTCAGACCTCCCCCACTCTTTTATCTCTTCTTCTCGCCGGCCTTAATCGTTGCCAGCGATATGCAATGAATGCAGCGAGCTTTGCTCCAATACCGGTTTGTAATGAACCTCCCAGTTCACCACTGATGAGCGCACATAATCACACACCATGCATAAATGAGATCACACGAGGTTCACACTGGAAGCCAGAGATATGAAGACCAGGTAAGACCAGCTTAGAATTCCAACAAATTATCATATGAGCAATCAAGAGTTCCAGTCACAAGCGCTCAACAGCGCAAGCCCAAGTAACCAGATCTCCCTTCACGTAAGTATCTCCCTCAATGCTCCTCTCTTCTCTCTCGGTCTTCTCTCTGTGTACTACCTCCTCGTGTCTTCTCTCCCTATTTGCATGCACTCGCACCATCTACTACTCAAGGACCAACTCTAAATACACCCACTGCTAAGTCTACTAACCTCTCTGAGGACTACTACTAATTACTAGCACTGACGCAGTTAGGGCTGCCTTCCCTCTGCCAGCGCTGGGGCAGCTATGGCTGTTCCCTCTCTCTCCCTCTAACAGCGCAGCTCCCTGGCTTAACGCTCCGCCCCTAACAACAGTGCACAAGTGCACCAGCACTTCCACACTTCATGCGAATGAGCAATCTGCCCAAATGAGAGGCTGGCCAGTCCCTTTATTGCCTTCGAACTTCGTTTGGCTGTCCCAGCCTCTGCTGCCAAGGGTTCCCCTCGGCCTTGTACCACATGCCCATGGCCCATCTGCTTCCGAATGTCAGGGCCTGGTATTTTCCCGTATTTTCATTGGTGTGCTGCTGCTTGGGCCCGAGGGTCACGACTTTTCACTTGTGAACATGACTTTTGAGTGTGGACTGTGACTCCTGCCCTTGGCACACGACTCCTGCCTGTGATGTACCCTTTGCTTATGAAATAGGACTTTTCAATACGGGACGTGACTTTTGCTTACGGAATGCAACTTTACCTTGGGATGTGACTGCAGATCGGGCGCCTGTTCAGAATGGATTTATAAGGCACCCGACTGTGACCTTTCTGAATTGACCGTCTTAGCCTCCCTGGGCCTAAGACCTTGACCCTCAAATTCGAATTTGGGGTCTGAATCGTGGAAAGCCTTTCATTCGWCTCCTCGGATCCTTTTTTTTTTTTTTTTTTTGGGGCCATCGTTTTATTTGGTGTCCACTCTATGGACCGGTGACAAGTTTGATTTGAAGGGTGTGGGAGATTTGTTATAAAGACCCTGAAAAAACCCTGAAATTTTAGGGCTCTGTTAATCGCTCCTCAAACTTTTTGCGATTGTCCAAAGCTTGTGGAAGCATGCCAAGAAAGGAGATAAAAAGGATAGATAATTGGGACAGAGAGAAACAGAAAACGAGGGGTTGAGAGAGAGAGAGAGAGAGAGAGAGAGAGAGAGAGAGAGAGAGAGAGAGAGAGAGAGAGAGAGAGAGAGAGAGAGAGAGAGAGAGAGANAGAGAGAGAGAGAGAGAGAGAGAGAGAGAGAGAGAGAGAGAGAGAGAGAGAGAGAGAGAGAGAGAGAGATGCTCAATCGAGCGATGTATATGGAGCCAAGGATCCGCAAAGTCATGAAAAGGACTCGAATGGACAATGCAGCGTCAGCAAAGCATCAACAAGCAATGTGCAGTCAGATACAAACAAAAATAGCATAATGTAGCACAACGGAAGGCTCAAAGATGTGACCTGACCTATCAGGTACTGACGTGACACCCCATCGTACACCACACATGTGAGAGCGAGGGGAGGGACCACATACATGGAACAAAGGTCCCTGGTTGAGCACGCACATGGGGGATACCACGGATGAGGAGATGGAGGAGAGGCGAGACGGAGATGGAGATGAGGGAGAAGACCAAGATCGCGATAGCGAAGAACAAAAATAGTCTCCCTGTCGAATGTCCAATCAATGTCTGTCACAAAGATGTCGAATCAGATCCTGGGCCTCGTGGCCCAATGTAACCTCTGCCCGTAACCTCTCTCTCTCTCTCTTCTGGAAGAAGAAAATGCAGGAGGAAGGAGGAAGAAGAGATGGAGGGCGAGGCCAGGAAGAAGAGGAAGATGTCGTCCTCCTCACTGTCTCACCTGCAGGTGACTGCCGCCGGTGTGTCTGTGCAGGTCGCTAGCGTATAGTCCAGCTATGACGCCCAGGTAAGTACCGCCGCTGCAGGTATGGCCTCCGCCTCTCTCGCTCTACCTACACCTCTACCTCTAACGCAGCGTTGTGTCGCGCTGCTCCAGCAGCGTGTCGCCCAAGAAGTGAGGTACTCGAACTGTGTGTCTGCCCTGGCCTGTCCCAGCTATATGCCCAAGAAGTGAGGTACTCGAACTGTGTGTCTGCCCTGGCCTGTCCCAGCTATATGTAGCGCTGGGCCTCACTGGTGTGCCTCTGGTCCTTGGCCTGGAACGGCCTGCCTGGGTCCCTACCGGACGTCCAGGCCCTCCCTGCTGATGCAACAGGGAGTGTCCGCTGCCGGACGAAAACGAACCTGGCCCGGAAGGGCCTGGCCACAAATGGAGAAAACCCAAAACATGGCCTTGGTCGAACAGACCGTGTGTCTGTTTGGACGCACTGCAAATCCGAAACGACGCCTGGAACAGACAAACATAGTACAGCAAATATAAATAAGTAAATAATGAATGCTGCCTCAAATTCGAATCCTGCGGCCCTAAGGCCAGCCGCGGGCCTCCAGCGCGCATCTCCGAAGGGCGTGCGGCCTGGGGCCCCCCAGCAACCGTTGGGCCCCCAAAATGCGGCCCGTGTGCAAGCTCGGCATGTAAC